GTGGTGGTTAATGCCTCCCTTCGGGAAGGCAAAATTCCGCCAGCTTAAAGCAAGCTGTTATAAAACCGCTGTTGAAAAAACCATCACTGGACCCCACTCAATTCGTCAACTATCGGCTAGTTTCCAATCTCCCTTTTGGGCAAAGTCCTGGAACGTGTGGTGGCCTCACAACTCCAGGCATTCTTGGTAGACACGGATTATCTGATCCGGCACAGTCTGGCTTTAGGCCGGGGCATGGTACCGAGACAGCCTTGGTCGCCTTAGTGGATGATCTGCGCGGGAGCTCGACAGGGGGAGTGTGTCCCTGTTGGTGCTGCTGGACCTCTCAGCGGCCTTCGATACCGTCGACCACAGTATCCTTCTGGGACGCCTCGCAGGAATGGGTCTTGGAGGGACTGTCTTACAGTGGCTCCGCTCATTCCTTGAGGGTCGGTCTCAGAAGGTGTTACTGGGAGACTCCTGTTCAACCCCACAACCTTTGTCTTGTGGGGTTCCTCAGGGTTCAATATTGTCTCCCATGTTGTTTAATATCTACATGAAGCCGCTGGGTGAGATCATCCGGAGTTTCGGGGTGCGGTGTCATCTGTACGCAGATGATGTCCAACTCTGTCACTCCTTTCCACCTGCTACTAAGGAGGCTGTCGAGGTCCTGAACCGGTGCCTGGCCGCTGTGACGGTCTGGATGAGGGCGAACAAATTGAAATTGAATCCAGACAAGACAGAGGTACTCCTGGTCAGTCGCAAGGCCGAACAGGGTATAGGGTTACAGCCTGTGTTGGATGGGGCCGCACTCCCCCTGAAGACGCAGGTTCGCAGTTGGGTGTGATCCTGGACTCATCGCTGAGCCTGGAACCCCAGGTTTCGGCGGTGACCAGGGGAGCATTCGCACAGTTAAACTCGTGCGCCAACTGCGCCCGTACCTTGGGAAGTCTGACTTGGCCACGGTAGTCCACGCTCTGGTTACATCCCGTTTAGACTACTGCAACGCTCTCTCCGTGGGGTTGCCTTTGAAGACGGCTCGGAAGCTCCAATTAGTCCAACGGTCGGCAGCCATGATACTAACAGGAGCGGAGCGCAGGGAGCATACAACTCCTCTGCTGCACCAGCTCCACTGGCTGCCGATTTGCTACCGGGCTCAATTCAAAGTGCTGGTGTTGGCCTTTAAAGCCCTAAACGGTTCTGGCCCAACCTACCTATCCGAACGTATCTCGGCCTATCAGCCCACCAGGACCCTAAGATCTTCTGGGGAGGCCCTGCTCCCTATCCCGCCTACTTCACAGGTGCGGCTGGCAGGGACGAGAGACAGGGCCTTTTCTGTGGTGGCCCCTTGGCTATGGAACACCCTTCCCATGGAGGTAAGATCAGCCCCCTCGCTGAAGGTGTTCTGAAAAAGATTAAAAACCTGGATGTTCGAACAGGCATTTGGTTAATTCGGTGCAATGAATTTGATGATTAAAGGATTGGTAATATGGACGACGAAACTGGATCACGATTTTAGTCAGGAGATGCATTGGATTGTTATTGATGGGCCAATATTGTGTATTGTGTATGATGTTTTTATGGTTTTAAACTGAATACTGTTGATTGTTGTATTTTGTTGTAAACCGCGTTGAGTCGCCAGTTAGGCTGAGAAACAGCGGTATACAAGTATAGAAATAAATAAATAAATAAATACTCTCTTAGGAATGGCTGGGGCAGCTGAAAGAGAAATGTCAGGTACTTTTGTTAATTTCAGTAAATAAGATAGAGTTGGGAGTGTTGTAGTTGATGGGGTGTCTTGCTGATCTGGAGGAAACATAGGCTCATCCACCGTAGAGGGTGGCTTTGGAGCAGAAATATCTAGAGCTGTTATCATTCTCCCAACTAACTGAATAAATTTATTAAAGTCCTCAGGGCGGTTTACAAGAGGCTCTAAGTCCTTTTCTCCTTTTGGTGTATCTAACACTTCTTCAGAAGAATCTGAGTCAAAGGTTTCAATCATTTTTTGTTCTGCCTGGCGTTGTTGTTCTATTGTCTTTGTGTTTATATTACTGGATGGTAGCTGTATATCCTTTAAGGGATGATGATTACTTTGCTGTTTTAGTCCATCATTCCTAGGGTCTGAATCTTGCACAGATGACTGATTACTTTCTTTGTACTTTATAACAGCATCTCTCTGTTGTATTGGAGGGTTGATATGTGTAGGCAGCCAGTCTCCTCCTTGGTTTGATGTTGATGGCATAGGTGGTTGGCCGAAATAAATGAATTGTCCTTTGGGTGTTATTTGGTAATACCCTGGATGTGGAGGAAGAAAGGCATTCCTATCACTCCACTCTCCCCAGTGTGAAGATCTGGAGAAGGAGATTGAATATTCTCTATGTGCCCTTGCACGTCTACATTTTCTTGTTGAGCATGAAGAGTCTGAGCAAAAAGAAGTGAAATCACTCGAGGTCAATCGGTCCCGACGTCCTCTATTCATTTTGCTAGAGCGTGATGGCGCACGCGCATGGCGCCGCACAGATCTTCTTACGTTATTTCTTATCTCCGCCGGTGAGGGAGACATCGCTGGAGGAGCCCTTCTTGGCTCCTCCTCCACTTCACCCATGTGGCTTGTAGGCGGGACCGGCGCCGATAGCGTTGGCATCAGGGTCATGTTAGTGCTTCCCTGAGTCTCATCTTGCGCATACGCGGGGCGTGCCCTTGCTGATGCTGGCTCTATTTCATTTCCTTCTTGTGCATGCTCGGGGCGTGCTGTAGCTGATCCCGGCTCTGCCTCTGCCTCGGCTCCAGAGGGAGGAGGGTCTTCCCCCCTCCTGTTGCAACCCAGAGCAGGAAACGAGACCCTAAGACAGCAATCCACCACACTTGACTGTGGGAAAAACAATCCCTTTTCATTGATGAAAAATTGTTACAAAATAGAGGAAAATGCAAAGTCAAAAAGCCACAGTAAAAATCAGCAATCAGAAATATCCATGATCTAGATCAAAAACCCAAAGCAACACTGTAAAATCCTGGAACCTGTTAGCAATCCACTAGCCGTACTTGGAGCAGTAGAAGCCTCTTGGGATGAAGGCCATGGGAAACGGGAGATCTGCCAAGGTAATGCCTCAGTCTAAAATGATGCCTGATCTAAAGAGTCAACCCGAGAGGCACTTAAAGCCGAGGAATCTGTTTCGTGACACGCCTCCAGGCTTTGAAGTACTTGTTTCCTTTTCTTTCAATCTGGCTGACCTTCGCAAACTCTGTGATTCACTCCTGTTCTGCCAAATCTGTCCTCTTCTATCCTCATTAAGGATCCCAGGTGTTAGCTTCTCTGGCGAGCTAGAAGGAAGTGAAAGTCACTGCGTGGCTCTGAAACATTCTCATGAGAATGTGTACTTTCACTTTCCAAGCCTGCAGGAGTTTCTTTTACACTGACCTCAGAATCAACATTTTCATTAGCATCAGAAAATACATTTTCAGTAGCATCAGGAAATACAATCAGAGGATCAGGTTCACACCGAGGCTGAACCCCAACACCTCTTTGGAGTTTGTATCAGCTCCAGAGGTCGTCTCGGCCGATTTTTTTGGCCGGTTTGGTTTTTTTCGATGTTCTTGGTTTTCCTAACCTTCTTGAGTGTCTTCACAGATAAGTTTGATTCCATTATTTGTTTTGGGTCGCCATTTTGCCGCTTCGGTACAGGGGGAAGAAGCGCCCGTTCATACAGGGCTGCTTTTAAACGTATTTCCCTATTTTTTCTAGTTTGTGGGGTGAAGGACTGACAAATAGAGCAAGTTTGTTATAGATGTCCTTCACCCAAACAAATGATGCATAGAGAATGTGCATTGTTATCCGGATAATTCGCCTGACAGGCATTGCATTGCTTAAAGCCTGTAGTATGCGACATTCTTAGGTCTTTTAAAGCATTGCTTCTAGTTTATTTAAGTTTAATAGCTTAACTTCACCAATTTAGTCAGGCGGATCAAAGATTATTAATATTGAAGATTTTGAGCTGTCTGATGAAGAGAACTGAGGCGGTTAGCCAGCCCATGGGCTATATATGCTCTTGAGGGGAGTGTGGGCGGGGCCAACCGCCAATCCTTTTCAAATTTAACAGAAGATTCCGGAGCTGTGCTGTGCATGCGCAGAAGTATTACCATATGTGCATATTCACAGCTGACCACACAGGGAAAATAAGATATAAATATGACCTAATCCAGCTTAGGACAGTATTGGGGGGGGGGGGGAATCACTAAAGCTTCTCTATGTTTCACATCAGGATCTTGATCCACACAGCTCAATAACCTGCTTTTTTACTTCTAAAATTTTTTACATCAACTGCTAATTACAGATGTGACAGTTTGTCTAATTTCTCCCCAATTTAGGAATGAGGATTCTTTGTCTCTAAAATGTTTTGGCCTAAAATTCAGAACAGCATCATGCCAGCACAGTCAATAGTAAAGAACTATGAGAGTTTGGATCTGAAACATCTTGAGGGTCAAAAGATCTCTATCCTTGCTCTAAATGGAAAATCTTTTTGTTACTGTTAATTGCCATCTTCATGGGACCAATTATTTAGGGCAATTTGTTTATTTGAGTGGATCCATGAAATTGAGATAATCTTACAGAACTGTGATACAAATGTTTACAACCTCATCACAAACCTCACTGTGGCAAATCCATGGGTTCCTGGTTGGGGGGGGGGGGCATGGAGAAGTCATCGTACCTTACTTCCCATCCCATGGGAGGAAAGTGTTGTTGCTAACTTCCCCCATTGCTGATAAGGCAACATGGGAAGGCTCCCATGTTGCCGCTTCCTCTCCTCTTTTGGCACAGAATCTGGCCAGAAGTCCTTGTGTGTCATCTAATGGGCTCTGTGCTGAAAGTGGAGAGCAAGCGATGTATGACAGGCAAATCAGCCCATGTGATGTGGTGGTTAGTGTAGCCATCAGCTAGAACTGCACTGTCTTTTCTCTGTTTTTGGTCTGATACTGAAGTGACTCAGGAGTTCTCTGCCCCCTAGGAGCATAGGAAGGAGCACCTGTAAGGATGACTTCGACATCTCATAGGATTCTGCCAGGAAACGTGTCTCTTCGTCATGTACTTTCTGGGGCTCTGTGGAAAAAACAGCAAACAACATTGGAAATAAAAGTGGTTTTTATAAGCAGTAAACAGGATTTTGCATTAAAACTTGATGAGTTTTTCTACACAAAATAATTCTTCCAAAACACTTTGGAACTTTTGTGTTCTGGACGAATATTGTGTAGGACTATTCATTTTCTAACACAGTATGCTGCATGTCTGGACACTTCAGTGTGGACATGTGACAGGGCTTGATCACTAGGAATAGCCCATCTGTGGAATTCCTTCCCAAAGAAAGTTTGGCTGGCCCCAGCTGTTTTGGGCTTTCATAGGCAGCTAAAATTGTGATTATTTGTGGATTTCTTTAAAATATTATTTCTAGGAATCTCTATGTCCTCCCGTGAGACTTTATGATCAAGTTCTGATGGAAGTTGAACATAGAGTCATGCTGGAGAACCTAGATGTTTCTAGAGAGGTGTTCACTCAGGTTTTTAAAAAGCAGTTTCTGGACAGAAAGCAGGATTTATGTGCAAACAACCTTGTGTTTTTGTCTGCAAAACATTTCTTCCACAACAGACTTGAATATAATTTAATTAAGATAGTAAGTTAGTGGGGTGACATTAATATTTTCACCATATGTTTTTAATTTGGGAGGTGGGAAGTCATTTTTTTTAAATTTTATGATTATTGTTTTCAGATAGGAGATAGTAAGAATAACTTACTTGCTTTGGTGATACAAGTGATGTGCTGGAAAATCATTGACTTTACAAACTATATAATGATACCCACATTGTTGAAAAAAAAAAGGGATTAATATACAGATTGAGAAAAAGACTATAAGGAGAAAATTTCACAGAATTCTCACTGGTTTATTTTTTTCCCCATCCTGGTTTCCTAACTGTCAGGAAACAAGTTTTTCAACCTGGGAACAAATAATGAATATGCTTTCCTTAAATTTCTTGAGGATGAATTCAGAGGAAAAGAACAGGTCAGGGATATGAACAGGTGAATGGAAGTCTCATTTAGAGCTTTAACTATATTGCTGCTACAGCTGATGGAGATCTCCAGAGGACATAACAAATATAATGAGCCAAAGTTTAGGGAGAATTGTACATAGATATGGGCTACCTACCAGGAAATAGGAATAATGGAAAATATATTTACCTTTTTTTCATACCAGTGAACACATGTATTGCTGGTGGTTTTGTGTGCCTACAAGTCATTTTTTACTTACAGTAAACCTATCATGGGGTTTTCTTGGCAAGATTTCTTCAGAAGGAGTTTGCCATTGCATTTCTCTGAGACTGAGGAACCTTCTACTTTAGGCCCCCAACTGGTGATAGGTAACAAGTTTACCTGAGGCGTCCAAATGATGCCTCAAGTAAACCAGGATTAATCCAAAGTAAACTGGATTTTCCCAGTTTAATTTGGATTAATTAAACACACCAATTGATACGGACCTTATTGAAAGGTCCAGGTATGTTGAAGTGGGCTTGTGGGAACTGACTTCCGGGACCACGTTCCACAATCCCAGGGGCCAATCTCCACTGCCGGTTCTTTGGGATCCTAGAGCCCGAAGGAGTGGGAGGATGCCCCTTTCCAGTCCCCCATTCCTTCCTCAAAACTTACCAGAGGGATTATTTTAATGTGCTTCCTCCTGGATTTTAGGTATGTGTAGAAAGGCCCTGGGAGAGCATGACTTGCCAAAGATCACATAGTGGATTTTCATGCTCTCCCAGAGTTGTAATCCAACACTCAAAGCACTGCACAATGGTGGCTCTCAGGATATATGGGCAGGCATAGCTAAGTTCTGAGAAAAGAGGAACATGATGGGAAAGGTTGTGTATGAACATCCTTTAAGTAATATTTCTCTGAACGTGTATCTGTAACTAAAGCCTTTGTAGTGATCATGAAAATATTACTCAAGAAATGTTCAGTAGTATAAGCTGCTTCTGTTTCTGCCACAACTTTCTGTACTTCCATTTTCTGTGGTAAACAACTGGGGTTTGGTCATTTGCCAATGGTTATTTCTTCCCTTCCACTTCTGTTTCCCAGCTCCTTGAAACACAACCTCCTATGAAACTGAAAAAAGTCTATTGTTCCATATGTATAATGCCATAAACAGCGGGGTGAAGCACAAAATGGAAATCCCAGAGATAAATAAGGGAATTATCCAACTTGCCTCCTAATTTATGGTGAACACACAGTGGTAATTTTGTAGGTTCCTCCCTAGTTTACAGCATATATTCCAACTATAAATCAGGGCTGATCCTGCATAGCTTCCAAGATAAGATGGGATCTGGTGTCTTCAGGGTATTTAAACTTAATCTTTAGAGCAGACCAAACAAAATCAATTAAATCAAGTTAGTCAAGCAGAGCTACTCTACTAAGGATTGCCTCCTGCTTTTTAGTTGTTGTCTTAACAAAGGCTATGTGACTTTGAATTATTGTCAGTTATATAGCCTATAGCCAACATGGATATAACCAACATGCATCCATACTGTAACAGAAACTACAACAGAAATTCATTATTTTAAAAAGTTTCTGACCTCCAAGTCTCTCATCCACTTTTCTTTTCAGCAAATTATACTTCTCAGATAGTTCCTGCATAAACTCTAAATTCTTGTCATTTTCTTCCTACAGTAGAAAATAAAGAAATAGCATGAAATATTACATTGCTAACACTAAAAATAGCAGCCATATTGGTCCCGGGAAGTCTGGAAATGTGAGTTTTGCAAAAACAACTTTCTAACTCCAATAACTACAAATCAAAAATTCTAACTAAAGATTGAAAGAATATCCAATTATCCATGCCCAGATTTAGAAACATTTCCTGCCAGTGGAAAGAATAATGAATTTGCACAATTTTCTGTGGGTATTCAATATCCCAATGTGTTGTGCAGGAATTCTGAAATCTGAAAAATTCCAGAAATTGCTTCTTCTATTTCTGCCTTTAAGGAAAGAGGGCTAGTTACACATCCAACACCTGCTAAGTTTTCTCAAGGAGCGTTTTGCTCCACTATAAAAAAAAATTACAGGAGAAAAGGGAAGTGGGGGGGGGGGATTTTGTGTTGTACAATTTGACTTACATAAACTCTTTGTAAAAAGTAGAAATCAAGGGAGAGGCAAGTCGAAATGCTGCCTGGCCAATCCATGCCACACTTACCCTTTGCATCCTGTTTCCAGGACACACATCCCATCACTTTCCAGCAGAAAGACACTGTGTTATGAATTGTCTAGGCAGCTGGAGTGTCCCAACATTCCCCATACCACTGGCAGCTGAATGCATAAGGACCTTTTCCTCCCCTGATGTTAGTTTAGCCACAAGACCCAGAGTCCTCCCTCCCGCTCTCCTTTTCCCTATCACAAGCAGAGCTCTGTCCTGATGCATTCACTTCCACTACAAGATCTGTCACCCATGGCAGGTCTTCTTAAACTTTTTCCACTCACGACCCCTTTCCAACTGAGAATTTTGTATGGGACTGATAATAAATCAGCATTTTTAAGGCTTGCTAAACAGGCTGATTTTCCCTTTTGTGGAGTACAGCTGAAGCATTTTCTGCCGAGTCCACTGTAAATATTGCATGTTGTTGGCAACAGGTTTGTGTAAGAGTGTAGCATTCAGAAACCCTTTACTGTTGACAAGTTTTTGTGACCCCAGCATTGAGGTAAGGAGACTCCATTTGGGGTTAAGACTCATAGTTTAGAGGGCCTTGAGATCGTCTGGGGAGGCCCTTCTCTCGATCCCGCCTGCCTCACAGGCACGTCTGGCGGGGACGAGAGAGAGGGCCTTCTCAGTGGTGGCCCCCCCGGCTGTGGAACGCCCTCCCTGTTGACATCAGACAGGCGCCCTCCCTTATGGCTTTCCACAAGAGCCTAAAGACCTGGCTATTCGAGAAGGCATTTAATTGAGAGCTACACGAATCTGGTAATGACAACAGGAACGGATTATGGTTTATGAGATTGGATATGATTCTATGCTATGACGGTGCGGATTTGTTAATTGTGATTTAGATTAATGTGTAATATGGTTGTGTTGATATATTGTATGCTTTTGTAAATTGTTTTTATATGTTGTACACCGCCGCGAGTCGCCCCAGGGCTGAGAGCGGCGGTCAACAAATGCAGTAAATAAATAAATAAATAAATAATAGTTTAAAAAGCAGTGACCTATGACATCACCTCACTTTGTCTAATAGTAGGATTTGCCCCGATACGTGCCGACAAAAGGGAGTATAGTTGGACAGTAATCAAAGCAGTTCTTAATACAGTAATATTGAATAGTCTAATCCAACCTGGATTTTAACATCTTGGCTAAGTCTTTTAGCTTCAGTCAGGTCAGCTTCTTTCAGAAACTCCTCCTGTTGTTGTTGCTGGAGTGTTGTGATCTTATTTGTATGCTTCTCTAGCAGCTCTATTTCACATTTCTTTGCTGCTTCATGTAAATTGGTTGTGTTGACTTGTTCAAGGAAAAAAGGAGAGCAAAAAGAAGGCAGTATATGTAAGTAACTTTAATGTTTATCTTCATCATCTTACTTCATTTTACTTTTATGATAAAAGTGAATAACCTTCCACATTCAAATCTAGTAATCCTGTGCTAAACAACATTTCTAACCTAATTCGAAAGCTACCATGGAGGGGTGTTTAAAGGTGGAAATATTGGGTCTTGGGGGGGGGGGGTGCCATCTAAATATTTTAAACTGCAACACCCATAATCCTTTGCTATTGGCCGCACTATCTCAGGCTTTTGAAAATTAAAGTCCAAATCATCTGGAGAGTCAAAGGTTTCCTGCCCCTATTTTAAGATCTTTGAGCAATCCAATTAGTAAGCTATACTTCAGCAAAAATCTCTCTGGAATAGCTGCCTGGTTGACCACAACCGTCTAATGTTTCTAAGCAGGAAATCAGATTCCTAGTTGAACAACTCTAATTAGTTTTCAGGATTATTTAGTGAGAGATACATATAATGTTGTGGTTAAAATCTTAGGTCATATCAGAGGTAGGCATTTGTGGCAATCCAAAAGTTTCTGGCCTATAAACCTCCTCAGCCCTAGCTGAGGGATCATGAACATTACAGTCCAAAAACTTCAGGAGAAACCTTTTCCACTCTTGTTTTATCTGATATTACACTGTGCCTAATGCCGCAAAAGGAATTGTATATCCAAATCAGTTGGTGATTTCATAACTGGCAATGTGCACTGTGATGCTTGCTGAGTGGGTATGTGTATCTCACAACAAAAATAAATAATTATTCAAAAGCAGAAGCGGAACAACAACCAGTCCCATAACACCAACACTCACATACTGTCTAGCAGAAAAATATAAAGCCAGCCTAGTCTTCTTGGTAAAAACATGAGAAGTACTTTTACTTAAAAATATTTTTAAAATATCATAATATCTCATGGCGAGAGGCTCTGTAACACGTGCTCTTCAAATAAAGAGTAGAGAAAAGTGCAGACTACAAAATGGAAGATGAACAGACTAACTGCAAGCTAACTGATGAAGGAAGGAAGAAAGTGTGGCTATGACAAACAAACAAGAAATGAAAGATATGAATGCTTGCTATGCCCAAATTGCTATGCCCAAAGGAAAAGGAAGAGGGGCCGACCAAGGGCAAGATGGATGGATGGCATCCTTGAAGTGACTGGACTGACCTTGAGGGAGCTGGGGGTGGTAACGGCCAACAGGGAGCTCTGGCGTGGGCTGGTCCATGAGGTCACGAAGAGTCGGAGACGACTGAACGTATGAACAACAACAAACATGCCCAAATTATAAAAAGGTAAAGGTTGTCCCCTGACATTAAGTCCAGTCATGTCTGACTCTGGGGTGTGGTGCTCATCTCCATTTCTAAGCCGAAAAGCCGGCGTTGTCCATAGACATCTCCAAGGTCATGTGGCCGGCATGACTGCATGGAGCGCCGTTACCTTCCCGCCGGAGCGGTACCTATTGATCTACTCACATTTGCATGTTTTAGAACTGCTAAGTTGGCAGAAGCTAGTGCTCTGACAGCGGACGCTCATGCCGCTCCCCGGAATAGAAACCTGCGACCTTTCGGTCAAGAAGCTCAGCAGCTCAGCGCTTTAACCCACTGTGCCACCGGCCCAAATTATACCAGCTCCAATTACTGAGTATAGGCATGCATGGTTTTTACTTCTAGCATTAGGTGCTTAATAATAGTAGTAAGTTAATAGCTTGGGGAACCTACATATCAGAGTCCAAACAAAGCAGAATGGAATAATTGCTAGAAGAGTGCAGACTCTGTATGCAGGTGACCCCTTTCTTCAAGTAAAGGGGGCAGCCCTTCCCTGAAGCACTATGGTATTCATAACAATGGGAGGAGAGGATTTTTATAAGGTTTTGCATAGGCGAGAAGGCCATGATGGCAAATATCCAGGGGTCCATTAGCAGACTGGCTTAACATGTTGAGTAAGTGAAGTACAACCTGTCCTCCATATTCATGGATTCTGGATCCACGGAATCAACCACTGGTGTTGCTTGTTAGCCACCTTGAGTCTCTATTTATTTATTTATTTTGGACATTTCTACCCTGCCCTTCTCAACCCCCTAGGGGGGACTCAAGAGAAAGATGGGATAAAATCCAAATAAAATAAAAAAAAATCTAATCAAATCTAATCAACAATGAATGAATGAGTGTGTGTGTGTGTGTATCTTCAAAAAGCAAACCTTGGTTTTGCCTTTTTATAGAAGGAATGCCATTTTGCTATGCCACTGTATATAATGGGACTTGACCATCCATGAATTTTGATATCTACAGGAGTCGTGGAATGGATCTTTGATATCAGCAGACATCAAAGATCCACTGCAATGAATATTGCTATCTAGGAGTCCTTACAAGATCACTTGCAGTTTAAATAACTACACTGCACCACTGTGTACTAGGAGGGAGCATCATTGCCTCTTTAATGGTGCTATGCAGGCAGTTATTTGGACAAATGTTTGATCCTTTTATGCTCTCTGCTAGAAGCCCTCTCTTCTTTAAATACATTGCTGTTTTTGCTTCATTCCCAAACTAAACGTACATTTGTTAAATAAAAGTGCTGCTTATTTAGGAAAAATTCCTTAGCTGAGTAAGTTGGCACAGCTGCTAAAGCTGTTTTTGTCTCACTCAAAGACAATAATAATACCTGCCTATTACAAATGATACTCAGGCTAGGGTAATGTAATAGACAACCCAAAGAATGTAGGCATGTGTGAGATTATAAGAACAAAGGATTTTACAAAATAATTTATGTTCACATGAGATTGCTTTATGCAGATCCCGCTGCCATGAGCAATGCTCTGATGTTTATATTCTCCAAATTGGCACCATCTCTATGCCTCTGTGCCTCCCATCATCCCATCAGAACTATATAATGGCATTTGTATTCTAATCAGTGTTTTGGCTGGCCCTCTTAATACCATTTTGGACTGGAGCTATATAGCCTTGTGCTGGTACAGAAGGAGTTCTGTCTGATGTTAGCCAAACTTTTTGGACTATTCCCTCCGTTTTCTAAACCTGAATTTGTACAGGTTACCTTTCCTGAGAATAGGTGAAGCGACAAGATAAAGACATGTTTGGCAGAGATTTACTCGTTAGTTTGTCTATATTGCATACATATAAGATATGATTGGAAGGGACTATCTAACTGTATCCCTTGTTGTGCCTGTATTCACTTTTAACAGAAAAGTTTCAAGGTGCTTTTTGTTTATTTTTATCTTACCATTTTCTGCTATCAATTCACAGGATGCCTGTTTCTTTTCATACTGAGTTTTGACTTTTTTCTGTGGGGAAAAAAAAAATCACAAATAGAATCACAACTCACTTTTAAAAAAAAGAAGCTGGTTCACATCTACATGAATTTAATTGTAGGAGAAAAAACACAGAAAAGCCCAGTGTCCTTTCTAAGAAATGTTCATGCTAACTTCCTCCAGCTTTCAGAGATCTAACTTCAGATCAGAGCTTCTTACAAAAGTACCTACCTAATTTGTGTACCTCATACCAGAAAGTTTATATTTCCATCAAGCTTTTTCTGAATACTCAGTTTCTATAGCATAAGTGTTTAGTGTTAGTACTTTCCTGCATTTCATTTCCCTTGATTTGTCAACAAATTTGACTCCTCATCCACATGTACTACAGAAAGAACGATGGAAATCCCAGACAGACAGACAGACACACACACACACACACACACACTGTTCATTTGGGGGACGCACATAACTCAAAAACCATGGACGAATTGACACGAAATTTGGACACACTACACCTATGAAATCAGCGAGTGACCATCACTCATAAAAACACAAAAACATAGCAGAAAGGACTTAAAAACCCTCAAAAGCTAAAAGACAATACAGCACATGTGCGTAAATGACTCCCCTGGCCCCAGCCCCATCCTGTGGAAGGAATAAAAAACAAACAGCTGTAGGGAGCATGGAAGGCTCCGGTGGGCTGGAAGACCCTTGGCTTCTCCAGGTCTCCGATTTGGGGGTCTCCCCCTCTCTCTGCAACCCACCACCCCCTCAGGCCCCCTTCCTTCCCTTTGAGTCTACCCTTCTCCACTATGCTGGAAGTGCACATGGGCCTTCCCTCCCTCCCTCCCAGTCACCATCCTCTTTAAAGATATGTGAAAGGTCCAGCTGGGGAAAAAGTACTCTTTTCTATTTGAGCCAGATGTGAATGTTGCAATTGCCCAGATTGATTACCTTTGCAGCTTAAAAGCCAGGCTTCTTCCTGCCTGCAGGAAACTTTTGTGGGGAGTTGTTCCCTAGCCCAGATTGTTTCATATCTGGAATTCCTCTGTTTTCTGAGGGCCACAGCAACGCATGGCTGTGTACAGTTAGTCCTTCATATATTTGATGAAGTAGGCCATAGCTTGGGAAAATTCCTTTATTGGATATGCTGGATTCTCAAAATTGTAGTTTAATAAAGCATTTTCAAGTTCTAAGATTCATTAATATGATTTTTTTGGTAAAAATATTCAACATGCTTTGTGGTGAAACCAAATAATGTTAATTCATGCTCCAGAAAACAATGGATAGTATCTATCAATCTGCGATAGGCATTGGGAAAAATCAATATCAAGAGTGGGCATCTGTAATGAAATGTATAATTAAAATGTAAGTTTAAATGTATGTTGTTATTGTCAGCTGATGGGTGGCTTGAGTTAGGACATTGCCATAGCAACGCAGCTCCCTAGTGGTGGTCTTGTAAATATGTTCAAAAATTTTGGAAAAATGTATTTCAAGAAATAAGAAGAATCACCCAGAGAAAATAGGAACACCGGAGATAGCATTGCTGTCATTTATTGATAATGTTAAAATACCAAAAGAACTAAATGAATTAATTCCCAATCTGGTAACAGCAGTAAGATTTTTAATAGCTAAAAAATGGAAAGAAGGAGGGGAGTGCCAATTGGAAGAGTGGTATAGGGAGATCTGGGACATTGCAATAAACGATAAACTGACAGGAAACATACAGGTTAAAAGAGGATTATCAAAAAAAGATTATTTTGGGAAGATTTGGGAAAATTGACAGAATATGTATATATAGAAGGTAAGGGGAACAAACCTGTAATAGAAACAACTGATTTTTGGAAATAAGTATTGTAATTGGCTGGTCTGGGGTGAAGGGTCAGCACTGGGTGCTTGGACAATATGTAATGAAGCGGGAGGATGAAATATTATAGGCATTAAGACATATATGTTCTGTACATTTTGTTAAGGGGAAGTGATAAGTATAAGAATGTTTAAACACTGAATATGTTAAAACTACAATAAATAAAAGTTTTAAAAAATAAAAAAGAGTGGGCATCATGGGGTCCTTCAGATGATGTTTGACGGCAACTCCTACCAGTCTTCACCACTGACTACCCTAGGCTACTGGGAGCAGCACGCCAACAATATCTGGAGGTCAACACGATTCCCATCCCTACCCTGTTATCTCATCTAGATCAACAGTAGCATTATAGAGTATCTGAGTTATGGGATCCCAGACAAAATTGCATGAGACCAAAATTGCATGAGGCCTTGGCTTTAAAACTAGTTTCCTTTTCCAGTTTTATTTTGTCTTCAGGACAGTTGTTCCGATCTGGATGGCAATTTTTTGTTATGGAAATCAAACTATCAAGGAAATGTCAAAATTCTTTTAAGTACATTTCTGACTCACTACCTTGATTGGTTATCTCAGAGATGGAACTTGCTTCGGTATTGCTCCAAACAGCACGAGTAGCTTTTCAGGTCTTAAATTCCGAATAAACAGTACATTATATCCACAGTTCACTGTTATATTTGGGAACAATACAGCCAAAGATGCCCCACAGGACACTACATTGTCTCAGAACATCTTTTCTTCATGGGATTTAACACATATTCATAAATACTAAGCCTTAAGTATTTTTTTTTTTCACTGTATGGGCGACAGATTGCAACAGAAGCCTCATCCCAAATTCACTCTGATTCTTCACTTTCTTTGAAACAATTTGAACCAGGTGACTAAAGATCTTGTGGAAGAGACTGACATTCTGGACTTTATCACACCAACCTGCTTTCATGCCTCAATAACATTAGTGTAAGGAATTGAGACCCATTTTAGCCAATTCATTATCACACCTCCACATTGGGCAATCTAATGTCCTGTGATCTGTCTCCCACATTACTCTGGCAATCCATAACCCTGTCTAAGCCATTCACAGCATGCCTTTCCAAAATTACCATAATTTTGCAATTATGGCAACATGAGAGAAAAAAGAAAGAAAGAAATGTATTTTACAAAGGAAAACAGCCAGCTTGGGAATAGTGGAATATTGGAACTGCAGTGCAAGGGGACTAGTGGACAGAAGCCAGTCATTGGAAGGCAGCAATATTTGTGAGCCATTAACAGGTTGATGTGGATTAAGAAGCTAAAATACACATATTCAACAGAAATTAAAGAGAACTGGTATAAAACGTTTTACATGTGGTATCTAACACCGGAGCAACTGGCAAAATATAGCAAAGGAGGAAAGGATGAACTATGCTGGAAATGAAAAAATAAAGGAAATGTTACGCACATGTGCTGGAAGCAGGCATGTAGCCGGGGGCGGGGGGCTTGAGGGGCTTCATGGTGGTCCGCGAAAAAGCCTTACTGGTACATTATTTAAACTGTTATGTTTATTTATATCATGATCTGATCACCATGCTTAATATATCCCATATGCATGGGGGTATTGGGGTAACGATACAAAAGGTTTGCTAGGGTAGACCCTCTTTCACTCAGACTCACCCCCCCCCCCCCAATCAAAATCCTGGCTACGGGCCTGGATGGAAGTGTAAGGAAATTAAAAAGTATTGGCACCCAAAAAATAGAATCAATTCTTCATCTGAAATTTGAGTTCAAACCCGAATACTACCTCTTAGGAATGACGGACTTGGGGATGGAGAAAAGTACAAACAAGATCTTCATTTCTCTGGTAATGACAGCAAGGATTAACCTGGCCCAATTATGGAAAACACAAGAAACACCCACCATAGAAAGATGGATTTTAAAATAATGGATATCATGATTATGGGTGTGCTAAGATCCATATTGATGATATCCATAAGACTAGCACAAAATGGTATACAACCACAAAGAACAGACTGGGCAAAGTTCAGGGAATTCTTAAATAGAGAAAAGATAAAGATATATGTAAAAATGACTTAAAAGAAAGGTAAAATCAAAATTAATTTTTAAAAAACCGACATGAGGAGAATAAAATATTAAACTAAACGAAAGAAGGCTCCCCAGCTGGAAGAGGCCTGGAAGTACAACTATATCCTTCTGCTTTTCTTTTTACCTTTTCTTTTATTTTTTTACTAGGGGTATTTTTTAAGTAAGGTCTGTTTTGTTGTAGACACTAGTAGTTTGCGTGCATTTAAAAATGTTTATGACTATCAACTCACCCTCCGCATGTGAGGTTCGCTCAGTGATACGGTTTTTGTCAGCAAGGAACCTGCCTGCTGCAGAAATTCATCGACAGATTTGTGAAGTGTACGGTGATACTGTTATTAGTGAAAGCAAAGTGCGTAAGTGGGTACGACAATTCAAAGATGGCCGTGACAACGTCCATGATGAGGACCGCTCCGGTCGCCCTTCCTTTGATTACAGTGAACTCTTGGTTATCGGAGCAGGCGGCAAGTTTTATGAAGAGGGTATTTTAAAATTGGTTCAGAGGTATGATAAGTGTTTGAACAAACTTGGCAACTATGTCGAAAAATAGAGTGAAGTATGTACTTTCTGAAAATAAATTTACTTTTTTGAAATAAACTTTCATTGTGTACTTATGTTCAAACGGACCTTACTTTAAAAATACCCCTCATATTTATTTATTGTCCTTTTTTTCTTTCCTTTTTCTTTCCTTTTCCCACTTTCCTAATTACATTGTTCACCCACTATTTATGTAAGCAAATACCCTATACCTTTTTTTCTGGAATCTTTTATTCTCAATAAAAAGAATTATATATATATAAAAGAAATGGAGATGAGCACCCCCTTCCAGAGACTGACACAACTAGAGTTAATGTCAGGGGAAACCTTTACCTTTTACAAGGGGTGCACAGAAAAGAAAGATGGAAAATATAAAGGATGCTGGCAAAAGGGGAATGTTTTTCCACGTTAATTATCCTACATATGTATATAATGTATTTCTTTTTTCTCAACCCAACAGGGCTCCTGAGGTGATGTGCAGTAGGTAAAGATACCTGCAAGATAAGGGTGTCATTTTGTCCTTCATGGTAGGCAGATTATCCTGGGCCAGCTTGGGAAT